AGGCGATATTCCCTTCCAGATATACATGCAGACTACTGTAGACACCAATCCACCGAATCGGAGAAGCATACCAATGCTCTCAAACATACGAATGCGGTAAACAGCCGAATAGGAAAAACCATACGAATAGGTTTACACTCCTAGCAGTCGAACTGGAACAGCATACAATAAATCCCCCCCAAGAACGAGACAAGGCTCCGTGTTGAGGATCAAAACAGGAACAGGCAGAGCTGTGGGTTTATTGTTCTTATATACACATTACTACCACCCACAGGGTTTTGTAAAACAACCAATAAACACATACAATACACTCAGACACTCCCACACAAAATCCTCCCCACTGCCTGTAATACAATTACCTTACACAATGGGTTAATGTAATTATCACAGGCAGAGAAATACAGTTTTTCCACATTACTCATAACTTTAAAAGTATGCATCACATTCACATAAAATGGCGCTCAGATCACATACATACAGTTCAATTGCCATGGAGCCAAAGTCTTTCCCATAGTCTTTTGTTATACGAATGGGCTCCATGGCATAGCTATCTGGGGTATCACTGTTCATATAGGGCAAGCACCGAATGAGCCGGCTTTCGTGTCTTTGCAGGGGAAAATCAAGCGTTTCAACATGGGGCCATACAGGGCCGGCCTTAGGTGTTCAGGCGCCCTGTGCGAAACAATCTTGTGGCGCCCCCCCCCCTCACCTGTCTCTGTTTGGACCCCTTCAAACTATTTTAGGAGCATTCACAATCTGTTGCCTCCACCCCCTTCTACAAAACCACTGCACCTCTTAACCAAAATCCCTGGCCAGATCTTCACCAAGCCCCTGGCCACCACTTCATCAAACTCCTGGCCACCCCTTCCCCTTCATCAATGCCCTGGCCATCCCTTCGTCAAACTCCTAGCCACCCCTTACCCTTCATCAATCCCCTCCCACCCCTTTATCAATTCCTGCCACCCCTTCATCAGTCCCCTGCCCCTCTCATCAATTCCCTCCCACCCTTTACTCAGCCCTCTGCCCCTATTCATCAGCCGCCTGACCCCCTAATCAATCCCCTCCCCCTTTTATCAGCCCCCTGACCCCCTCATCAGTACCCTCCCACCCCTATCACCCACCTGCCCCCCTTTAATCAGTCCCATGCCCCCCTTTTCAACCCCCTGCTCCCCTTCATCAGCCCCCTTAATACATCCCATGCCAAATAATCCAACCCCTGGCCACCCCTTCATCAGTCCCCTGCCCCCTCATCAATTCCCTCCCACCTATTTATCAGCCATCTGCCCCCATTTCATCAGCCCCCTGATCTCCTCATCAATCCCCTCCCACTCCTTTATCAACCACCTGCCCCCTTTAATCAGCCCCATGCCCCCCTTTTCAGTTTCCTGCCACCCTTTATCAGCCCCCTTAATAAATCCCCTGCCAATTAATGCAATCCATGCCACCCCTTCATCAACCCTTTGCACCCCTTAATCAGACCCTGCCTCCCTTAATCAAACCCCTGCCCCCCTTAATCATACCCTGTCATCCATGCCCAGTCCCCTGCCCCCCTTAATTAGACCCAGTGTCACCCATAGCCAGTCCCAGTCCCCTGCCCCCCTTAATTAGACCCAGTGTCACCCATAGCCAGTCCCAGTCCCCTGCCCCCCTTAATTAGACCCAGTGTCACCCATAGCCAGTCCCAGTCCCCCCAATAGGACCCAGTTAGTCCCCTGCCCCCTTAGTCCAGTGCCCTTATCTAGTCCCCTGCCCCTCCCCACTCTTATAGTCCCATAGCCAGTCCAGTCCCCTGCCCCCCTTAATTAGACCCAGTGTCACCCATAGCCAGTCCCAGTCCCCTGCCCCCCTTAATTAGACCCAGTGTCACCCATAGCCAGTCCCAGTCCCCTGCCCCCCTTAATTAGACCCAGTGTCACCCATAGCCAGTCCCCTGCCCCCCTTAATTAGACCCAGTGTCACCCATATCTAGTCCCCTGCCCCCTTAATTAGACCCAGTGCCACCCTTATCTAGTCCCCTGCCCCCCTTAATTAGACCCAGTGTCACCCTTATCTAGTCCCCTGCCCCCCTTAATTAGACCCTGCCCCATTTAATGAAAGATGTTTGGCTTAAAAATAAATAAGGTACTTACTTTGAAGGCTGCTGCTCCCTCCCTGTCTGCAGAGCACCGGCCGCCGCCCTCACACATGGAGCGGATCCCTCTGCGGCTCTCTGTGAAGGTGCCTTGGACGCCCCTGCGCCCCAAGCTCCTCCTCCACGCTCCGGAAACTGACCGCGGCTCAGCTCTCACACAATCTCGGGCCGGCCAGTGACAGAGCGACTGCGAGCTGTGTCGGCCGCCCGGCGCCCCTGTTGCCATGGCGCCCTGTGCGGCCGCACAGCTCGCACACCCCAAAGGCCGGCCCTGGGGCCATAGTCTAAAGGCAGCAGGTGGGTAACCAGGCTCCTCCAATGCACAGTGGCGAGATTTGTCTCGTCACACTATACTTCTACTTACTTCTTCGTAGAACGCAATCAAATTAGTTTGACATGACCTGTGCTTCATAAAACCGTGCTGATTTTTGCTGATAACCATGTTCTTCTCAAGGAATTCTTGAATAATATCCCTTAATAACCTTTCAAATATTTTACCAGCCACAGAAGTTAAGCTCACAGGTCTATAATTTCCAGGCAAGGATTTTGAACCCTTTTTGAATATAGGAACCACATCTGCCTTCCTCCAATCCTCCGGAACACTTCCTGAAAGAAAAGAATCTTGAAAGATTAAAACAGAGGTTCACTTATTTCTGCACTTAGTTCCTTAAGTACACGTGGATGGATACCGTCAGGCCCTGGAGCCTTGTTTATATTAACTTTCTTTAGTTGCTGCAGCACCTTGTCTTGAGTTAACCAATTACAATTATTCTGCAAGTTTTTAGTAGCTATCATTTGCACATCTATTGCCATGGGTTCTTCCTTAATATATACGGAGGAGAAATAGTAATTTAAAATTCCTGCCTTTTCCTGGTCTTCATTAATTAACACCCCCGTTTCAGTTTTTAGTGTACCTACACTTTCATTTTGTTTTTTTTTAAATTTATGTATTTAAAAAATACTTTGGGGTTGGTTTTGCTCTCTTTAGCTATAATTTTTTCATTTTGAAGTTTAGCAAGTCTAATTGCCTTTTGCATTATTGGCTTCCTTATATCTTTTATAAGATGCATCTGATTTGTCCGATTTAAATGCTTTAAATGCCCTTTTCTTATTTTTAATCTTGTTTTACTTCTCTACTAAGCCACATTGGTTTTAATTTGTTTCTTTTTTATTTATTTCCCAATGGTACATACTGAGAATTGTACCTTTCTAATATTTGTTGGAAGATGATCCATTTATCCTCAGTGTTCTTTTCACTAAAGAGTTTATGCCAGTCAATATATTGTAAAGCTGCCCTAAAAGGACCACTCTAGGCACCCAGACCACTTCAGCTTAATGAGGTGGTCTGGGTGCCTGGTCCAACCCATTTTTTCATAAACATAGCAGTTTCAGAGAAACTGCTATGTTTATGAATGGGTTAAGCCTTCCCCCATTCCCTCTAGCGGCTGTCTCATTGACAGCCGCTAGAGGCGCTTGCGTGCTTCTCACTGTGAAAATCACAGTGAGAGCACGCAAGCGTCCATAAGAAAGCATTATTAATGCTTTCCTATGTGACAGCCTGAATGCGCGCGCAGCTCTTGCCGCGCGTGCGCATTCAGCCGACGGGGAGGAGAAGAGGAGGATCGGAGGAGGAGAGCTCCCCGCCCAGCGCTGGAAAAAGGTAAGATTTAACCCTTTTCCCCCTTCCATAGCCGGGCGGGAGGGGGACCATGAGGGTGGGGGCACCCTCAGGGCACTATAGTGCCAGGAAAACGAGTATGTTTTCCTGGCACTATAGTGGTCCTTTAACTTATTGAAATTGGCCTTTTTAAAATTATATGTTTTAGTATACCCCATGTGCTTTTGTTTTTTTGAGTTTATTTCAAAGGACACTATATTGTGATCACTATTTCCCAAGTGCTCACCTACTTGAATGTTGGTCAAAAGATCAACGTTGTTTGTTAAAACCAGGTCCAGACAAGCGTCCATTCTAGTAGGTGCTTGTACAAGTTGTGACATGTCATTTAACAAGTTTAAAAACCTAATTCCCTTTGCTGAACTACTAGTCCCTCTGTCCCAATTTATGTCCGGGTAATTAAAATCTCCAATAATTAAAGTGTTACCCAGATTTGCAGCTTTCTCAATTTGCTCAAACAGCTGTTGTTCCTCGTCAATATTAACATTAGGTGGTTTATAACATATCCCAACCAATAGTTGATTTCTCTTCTTTTCCCCCAAGCAGATATCTACCCATAAAGCTTCCACATTTTCCTCATCGCATTCCACCTGCTTAAGATTTGGCTTTAAATCATGGTTGACATACAAACATACCCCACCACCCTTCTTATTTTTCTATCCTTCCTAAATAACGTCTACCCATTTAAGTTAGCTGCCCAGTCATGTGTCTCATCCCACCATGTTTCAGTTATGCCTATTATATCAAATTGTTTAGTGTATGCTAATGCCTCTAGTTCCCCCATTTTGTTATTTAAAAAGACCATCTCAGGATAAAAGGAAACAGTATATACAACAAGCTATCACCCTTAGTGAATTACAGTACGTATTTATTATAACTCACTAACACAGTCTCTATAGGGAAAATAACCGCTATATTAGCTAGAGCCACCTATCACGCTCAGCCAAAACACGTACTATCCTCCTGAATATAAATGGTTATACTGCTTACCCCAATTCTAAATAAAGATATCTACCAAGTTCCTAAATACCAATTTTTAACAGTATAATATGCTCTCTTCGCTAGTCAGTCCTGGTGCTGATTGCAGTCAGAGTGGCTAAATTAATAAGTACTGCTAGGCAGCATAATACACAGATAAGAATACAGAGGGCCTTCAAAGTATACGGCCATTACAGGTAGGTTTACCTGTGGTGACTGGCATTTTGAGCTCTGTTGATGTATTACATGTTAAAGTGGCATTGTCATCAGATTGTCACAGTGGAGGTGGCCATCTTTAAATTGCATTGAGATTTTAGTAAGATATTTACTAAAACATGAGGTTGTTTAGAGCAATCAGAATACGTGCTGTATCTGCCTGGAAATGGGTGTAAGGGTGCCGAGTACCCGCTGTGCCCAAGGTTATCCACAAATCTGTCTTTTAATTCTTTTCGATGAAAGTAAGCTGTAGGCAGTGTTTTATGATGATACTGTCACTTTGGTGGTATCTGGTTTACTAAACTTCCAACTGAGGATAGCTGTAAAGGGAAGTGCAAAATTCAGGCAAAACTAGTTGGCCTTGAAACATAAGTCACGTCATCTGTGGCCCTTTTACCTACATTTCTGGATTCAGATGTCTATTCACTATACCTGAAGATTTGGATCTGAAGTTACTACAGATTTTAGTAATCGCAGCTGGAAAACGCCGGGCACTTAGTGCGGGATTTTCTATCAACGGGGTTCCTAAAATATGGATTTTTTTTTTACACAATATGCTTAGCTACGGTCACAGAATTTGCTATTTAGTGCATATTTGCCTTCAGGTTCTGCAGCGGCCAGAGTTCTTCTCTGTAATTTACACCATTAAATAAAACATTGAAAAATATTACAATCACAAGTGAGTTCATTCTTGACACATTGCATGGGAGGAGAAATTGGAACGTACATTTCTCCTCCTCTCTCTATACTGACTGCCAGGTGTAAAGGGCGGAGCTTATAACAATGATTGACAGGAGCTAAGATGGAGGCGGCTCTCTCTATACTGACTGCCAGGTGTAAAGGGCGGAGCTTATAACAATGATTGACAGGGAGCTAAGATGGAGGCGGCTCTATCTATACTGACTGCCAGGTGTAAAGGGCGGAGCTTATAACAATGATCGACAGGGAGCTAAGATGGAGGTGGCCCTCTCTATACTGACTGCCAGGTGTAAAGGGAGGAGCTTATAACAATGATTGACAGGGAGCTAAGATGGAGGTGGCTCTCTATACTGACTGCCAGGTGTAAAGGGCGGAGCTTATAACAATGATTGACAGGGAGCTAAGATGGAGGCGGCTCTCTCTATACTGACTGCCAGGTGTAAAGGGCGGAGCTTATAACGATGATTGACAGGGAGCTAAGATGGAGGCGGCTCTCTCTATACTGACTGCCAGGTGTAAAGGGCGGAGCTTATAACGATGATTGACAGGGAGCTAAGATGGAGGCGGCTCTCTCTATACTGACTGCCACGTGTAAAGGGCGGAGCTTATAACAATGACCGACAGGAGCTAAGATGGAGGCGGCTCTCTCTATACTGACTGCCAGGTGTAAAGGGCGGAGCTTATAACAATGATCGACAGGGAGCTAAGATGGAGGTGGCCCTCTCTATACTGACTGCCATGTGTAAAGGGCGGAGCTTATAACAGTGACCGACAGGAGCTAAGATGGAGGCGGCTCTCTCTATACTGACTGCCAGGTGTAAAGGGCGGAGCTTATAACGATGATTGACAGGGAGCTAAGATGGAGGCGGCTCTCTCTATACTGACTGCCACGTGTAAAAGGCGGAGCTTATAACAATGACCGACAGGAGCTAAGATGGAGGCGGCTCTCTCTATACTGACTGCCAGGTGTAAAGGGCGGAGCTTATAACAATGATCGACAGGGAGCTAAGATGGAGGTGGCCCTCTCTATACTGACTGCCATGTGTAAAGGGTGGAGCTTATAACAGTGACCGACATGAGCTAAGATGGAGGCGGCTCTCTCTATACTGACCGCCAGGTGTAAAGGGCGGAGCTTATAACAAATACTGACAGACAGCTAAGATGGAGGCGGCTCTCTCTATACTGACTGCCAGGTGTAAAGGACGGAGCTTATAACAATGATCGGCAGGGAGCTAAGATGGAGGTGGCTCTCTCTATACTGATTGCCAGGTGTAAAGGGCGGATCTTATAAGAATGATCGACAGGGAGCTAAGATGGAGGTGGCTCTCGCTATACTGACTGCCAGGTGTAAAGGGAGGAGCTTATAACAATGATTGACAGAGAGCTAAGATGGAGGTGGCTCTCGCTATACTGACCGCCAGGTGTAAAGGGAGGAGCTTATAACAATGATCGGCAGGGAGCTAAGATGGAGGCGGCTCTCTCTATACTGACAGCCAGGTGTAAAGGGCGGAGCTTATAAACAATCATTGACAGGGCGCTAGAGGCACCCATTTCTAGGATAAAGAGGAGTGGATTTCTACTGTAATTTTATTTTCACACCACGAACATTTTTAAATATAATTTGTAAATAAGCATAAAAAAAAACCTGGAAGGCGACAGTTCCCCTTTAAGCTCACTCCGCTCAGAGAATAATGTATCCCCACACCCCAGTATTTAGGGGAGTTCTATCTTTTCACTGTACCTTTCTAGTTTGAACATTTCTTTTCCCAGTCTATTTCTTAGCAGCTTGCCTTATGTTTAAGAAATTGGCATTTCCTAAGCTTTACTTTCTCTGAGCGGTAACAGAACCCCCACACACTTCTCTACACTTTCCAAAGGCCTTTCTCACATTCTCTATATGTCGGCATTAACGCAGCACACAGCAGACCCTGTATATTCTATATACACAAATATACCCACAAACCCAATAATATACCATAAAGGGGCAATGCACTCAAAATACACAACCCAATATTTATTAACAAAAATAGAAACAAATATCACCAAATCGTGTATTTTCACAAATGTAGCAATAGCTAAATATCAATGTACACAGGAGAGCAGAGTATATTTAATGGTGCAGGTGTATCTGGGCTCATACTGTCAGAGTAGAGGTCAGTCCTTTCAATATTCCACCATTTACGCAGTTTATTCTCCTGTACACATTTATATTTAACTATTAATTGATTCTTACATAAAATGTGTGAAATTTACACCAAATATACAAAATGGTGATTTTTTTTTTTTTTTAATATCTGTTATAAACAGAAGCCCTTGGTGACTGTTGTGCAGGTTTCGATCCTACAGTCCATGTTGGGGACCAGATTTCCATTAGAATATGTTGCGTTCCTTTGATTCATGGTTACAGAATTATATTCCATATAGATCCACACTGAGTTTATCCTTGCCCTGTCCACATCATGCCTTTACAGAGTACATACTCCTAATTAAATTGTGGAGCTCAGCAGTCCTCAGCAAATTGTTGCAGACACCAAGTAATCACAATATGTGTACCTACCCTGAATCCCTACGTGGCTCGGACAGATTTTACCATAACCAAGGTATTTAAAGGGACACTATAGTCACCAAAACAACTTTAGCTTAATGAAGCAGTTACGGTGTATAAATCATGTCTCTGCAGTATCACTGCTCAATTCTCTGCCATTTAGCAGTTAAATCACTTTGTTTATACAGCCCTAGCCACACCTTCCCTGGCTGTAACCTACACAGCCTGCATGATAAAAAAAAAAAAAAAAAAGTTTAATTTTCAAATCAGATATAAATTTACTTTAAAAAAGAAAAATATATATTTTGCCCTGTAAAATGAAGTTTAGTCACACACAGGACGCTCCTGCAGGGTCTAGCAAACTGTTAAGAATGCAGGAGATAAATTCTACATGCACTGAAGTGAGGCTATACTACATAAACAGAATGATTTAACTCCTAAATAGCAGATAATCGAGCAGTGAGAATGCAGAGGCATGATCTATACACCAAAACCACTACAGTAATCTAAAGTTGTTTTGGGGATTATAATGTTCCTTTACAGACTCAAAGCTGCAATTATATCCAATCTGTAACCCTTCCTGCCAGAGCAGTGTTCAATGCACTTTCACAGTCTAGCAAGGGCAGGGTTTAAGAAGTTCAGGAACAGGCCGACAATCATCTCCCACTATGCCAGACGCAGGGAACTAAAGATATATTGAATAAGAAAGTGCGAGTTCTGCTTTAGTTCAGGTAAGAGTATTGTTTAACCCCAGGAAATAAATAACTTCATATTTTACACCTTGGACAAGAGGCAACATGTGCCCAGGACAGATTCCTGTTACAGCAAAATGGAGCCAAGTAACCAGGACGATATCCCAAAAATGAATTTGTACAAACAGGAAACGTTTCAGGTGACCTCCCTCTGAGGGTTAAACAGAGCAGGATCATTTATTATTTGCAAATTATCACAGCTCTTATCAATGGCCGTTGTATGAAAGGGAGCAGCTCAGAGCCAGCTTCCCATGATGAAGCGTGCCATCTCCATTCACAGAGAACAAAAGTCAGTTCAGAATCAAACGGTTAAGCAAATGGATGACACCAGTCAAATAACATTATATTTTGCAAAGATTCCAGAAACAGGCTGAACTATTTAAACCCCAAGAAAATGTGGTTTGTCTTAAAAAATAAAGAATTTTACACAAAAAAAAAATATATATATATGTATATGGGGAAGTGGGGTATTTGCCAGGGGTAAAGCAAAAAAGTATATATAAACAAGAGTAGACAAATTAGACATCCTGTATAGGGTCTGTGCTGGGAGTCATGGTGGTCTCCGATGTCGCTGTGGCAAGTGGCTCCTTCAGCATGGCTGTTGCTGGTGGTTCCTGCACCATGTCCATAGCAGATGTTTTTTCCAACGTGGCTGTTGCTGGCGGCTCCTGATGCGTGGTGGTAGCAGGCTGCTCCTCTGGCGTGGCTGTTGCAGGAGGCTCCTGAAGTATGTCCATGGCAGATTTCTCCTCCGACATAGGTGTTGCAGGCGGCTCCTGAAGCATGATGGTGGCAGGCTGCTCCTGCACCATGGTAGATGTCTCCTCTTGCATTGCTGTTGGAGGAGTCTTTTGAGGCATGGTGGTAGCAGCTGTCTCCTCCTGTGTTGCTGTTGGAGGAGGCTTTTGAAGCATGGTGGTAGCAGGTGTCTCCTCCTGTGTTGCTGTTGGAGGAGGCTTTTGAAGCATGGTGGTAGCAGGTGTCTCCTCCTGTGTTGCTGTTGGAGGAGGCTTTTGAAGCATGGTGGCGGCAGGTGTCTCCTCCTGTGTGGCTGTTGCAGAAGGCTTTCGAAGCATGGTGGTGGCAGATGTCTCCTCCTGTGTAGTTGTTGCAGAAGGCTTTTGAAGCATGGTGGTGGCAGGCTGCTCCTGCACCACGTTAGGTGTTTCTTCCAGAGTTGCGGTTGTAGGCAGCTCCTGAGGCATGGTGGTGGCAGGTGTCTCCTGCACTGTGTCCATGGCCGGAGTCTCCTCCAGCATGGCTGTGGAGTGGTGCAAGGTAGGCGGCTCTACTTGAGTGGTTCTCCTGGGTGTCTCCTGCATGGTGTATGTGTTCTTGTAAAACGCGTAGATTGGTCGCTGAAAACCTGCAGAGAAATAAATAATTAAAAAGGGATTGACAGCTGCCATGTAATCTCTATCCTGTGCCTGAGAATGGAAGAGAATACTAGACTGTATGCAGCAGCCTAGGATTGGACAAGAGGATACCTGGGATATGTGGAATGGGTAAAGGACAGATTGAATTACCTTTAGCTTGGGTGTGTGGTGTAGCAATGAGCTCGTAACTGGAGAATCCAACTTTAGAAGATAGCAGGTATGACGTGAACTGATGAGGTTTGAAGGAAATCTTACTGAAGTTTCTGTAGATTGTTTCCTGAAAGACACGTGAGAATTACCATTACAGATCTTTACCAAAGGCATTTTTATTGCAGCAGACTGTCCGCATGTCAACTGGCAGTGACACGTCTATTGTGTTCGGATAAACTGAAATACTAAGGGCACCAAAAATAAATGGGAAAAAAAAAAAAAAATTCACCAGAAACAGGATTTTAAAAACAGTGATAACATTCTGAGAGGAAAGATGCATTTTATATAGGCTCAAATCGTCACATTACCCATCCATTTTGTCTTGGAGTTGGAGGTTTTTGTAATATTACAAACTAGAAATTACCCCCATTATTGCATAACATTTGCAAAAATAGACAACCTGAGGTATTGCAAATAGGGTGTATCTAGTCTTTTTTAGTAGCCACTTATGAACACTAACTTTGGCCAGTGTTTGTGACTAAGCAGCTACTAAAAAAAGAATGGAGATACCCAATTTTGAATACCATGGGTTGTGTAATTTTTCAAATGCTATGCCATCATCGGGTAATTCTCATTGCTGGACTACACCATAACACATGGTGGGTACTGGTATACTCATGCGATGTCGCTGAACACAACCCAGCAGGGGACCTGGTAAGTATTAAGGACGGCAGGGATGCCCACCGTCCATAATGGAGTTAACATCGCACGGCAACCTTGCACTTTCAGTTACTTGTTGTGATGGCCAAAAATTCAGGGTTAACAAATGTGACAGTCATTAGATTTTCACTTCTATCAAAAAATATAAAAAAAGTTTAATTATATGTAATGAAAGTTAAAGGGACTCTAAGCAAAAAAATGCAGAAATGTTTAATTGCAAAAATTCTCAAACTTACTCAACTACAACCAAGTTTCCCAATCAAATTTCATATTTTTTTCAATTAACCGTTTAGTAAATGCACCCAACAGTATTAAAAGGTGACACTACGGGTCCTCAAGAGCAAAATATTTCCACCAAATATTCCCACACAGTATACACCATTAAGGAGGCAGCAAGGAAGGATAGGGAGACGCGGCACTGCACATATTGGTGAACGCTGGACTTTAGAAAATCCCAGACAGTGGACGCTCTGTATTGGTCACTGCCTTCTACTGCACTATATTAACACACTGATTAGGTGGGTGAATCCCTCTATTGGAGATTTGAGTTCCAGAAACAGGGAACTCTTTAGGGGGTTTATTTACTAAAAGAACTGTACTGAATTGAAATCCAAATGTTGACATTTAGGCCTTATCCGCCAAGCTGCAACAGTAGCAGAGCTGGACAACCAGATGTTTATGCTGACATTTTGCCATTTACATTCCAGCTCGGCATTTAGTGAATAAATCCTGGTGAATGCACCAGAGAACAGCATGGCTGAATTGATAAGCGAGAAGAGTGCGGTTTACTTCTATTTCTTACATAATTTGAATGGCTGTCAAACGGATGCCCGGTGTAAGGAGGTAAAGTATGTTTATCTTGGGTAAGCCCTGTAACTCCTTAAAGCGGCACTGTCATGGCCGAATCCAATTTTTTTTTTTTAACCCCCCTCCACTACATCTAATTGACCCCCTAGTCACCCCCAAATGCCCCTAAGCCCACCATATTACCTATTTTTTAATCGTTATTTTCTGCCCCGATCTATATTCAGGGCGCCGCCATCTTTCTGTGGGTAGATGAAGTTCCTGTGGGACACGTCATCTGCCCACACTAGATAGCACTGAGATTCCCGCACATGCCCAGTTAAATACTTCGGCATGCGAACAGGAATTTCATCTATTTATTCATTCATCAGAAAATCGAATGAATGAATAGCATTGTCAGACGAACAAAAACACTGAGGATCAGTGTTCGTTCAGTTTATTACAAGGAGGGAGCTACCGGCACACAGCTCCCTCCTTATAATTTGTAAAGATAGAAGCAGCAGGGAGCTGTGCTCCCCGCCACGTCATAAGCCCCCCCCCCGGTCCCCTCTCACTCTATAAGGGGGCAATATGACCCCATAATAGCATAAAGGAGATTAAAATCTTCCCAATGCCGCTATACTGTGAGTAGGGGCATGTCCACTAAACAGTGAGCAGCCTGTGGCTCCTCAATGTTTAAAAAAAAAAAACAACCTACTAAACAACAATAAGGACCTACTGTCCTCCCCCCAGCCCCCACCTCTGAGTGGTGGCCCTAAAAAACCAAAAGGGGGTGGGGGGGGGAGATACGACAACACCTACTGTCCCGTCCCCCGGTGCCCACCCCCTGTGCAGTGGGTGGGGGCCCTAAAAATCCATACAATCAAAGTGCCTTCCCCCGCCCTGCAGAGCTCAGTCTGCGAGGAGCCCTCCATGGGTGAAGATGGATTTTTTTTGTGTTGGGATTATTTTAAGTTCGACGGGTATGATGGCTTTTTATTTGGCCTTTTTTGAGGCTGAAAAATGAAGATTTTAGAAAATGGTAAGTTAAATTTTTGTTTACAGGTTAGTTATTTTATTCCCCCTCACTATTTTTAGGGTGAGGGAGGGTAGGTAGGGGATAGTTTTATTTGGGTGGGGAGGGTGACTAGGGGCTTGGGACCCCTAGTCACCTTGATTTGGGGGGCGGGTGAATTTTTATTTAGGGCCCCCACCCGCCGCTCAAGGGTTGGGGTGGGGGACAGTAGGTCCAATTTAGGTCTTTCAACCTTTTAGTAGATAACTCCCTGATACCGTGGGAATTAGGGAGTTATCTACTAAGCAGCTGCAAGATGCAGCCACAGCACGAATAGGATCAGAGTTTCATTCATTCGAATGAAATTGCGATCTCAACAAAGTCCCGAATTGCATCCTAACATGAATGGAGAAACTGTTCTCATTCTGTTAGGAGCAATTCGGCACTTTTGCCGGCGTTCTAAGTGACAGGACATTCGGCAATACTGACAGGAAGCATTGTGAGAACAAGGAGGAAAGGTGAGAATTGTAGAAAAATTGCTCTGACCAGCGGAAATTAAGCTCTTAAGTCCCTACTTTGTCTTATGATTTTAAAGAAAACTAATGAAGACAGGAAGAACAGATTCTGAGAGAGGGGGAGAAGAGGAAGAGATTGAGGAAAGGTAAGTTCGGCATGACAGTGCCGCTTTAACACAATGCCACCTATGACCCACTATTTCATCTGATTGGACACAAATCATGTAGTGAGGAGATGGTCCCAGCGCTTGAATAAAGGAAATATAACCACATCAGTGTGTTTAAAGTTCCAGCACTGTGAAATCCTTACTAGTACAAGGGAGCTGCAGGTGTCAACGGATTCCAGAGGATGGCCTCTCAGCTGGGGCCACAGACTGAAAGAAACTGTATGCAACGCTCCAGGTGAGCACTGCACACGGGACCTATAAAATCGCAGCGTGGAGAATTTGTGCTCAGATATTCTCTAGCTTTAAAACCATAATTCACTCTTTGCCATATTTGTTGCATAACCCCCAAAATAAATAAATTCAAGGGAAAGCAATGCTTTCCTGGAAACACTCATGCACGGCGTGAGGACGTCCAGCGTCGTTTAGGCGACCAAAAGTAGTCTAAAAACCCAGAAGTCCCTCTATTGGCTGTAAACTGCAATAATTACATGCTCAGGGTTAAGGGTGATGGGAGCTGAAGTGGGCTGGGTGAATACAATGTCCCTTTAAAGTCAGACATAACTAAAGTTTGTTTTTAGTTGCACTAGTTGTGTAGAAAGTATTAAAGAGACACTATAGGCATTAAAACCACTTTAGGTTAAAGGAACAAAAAATGTATTTTGGACACTATACTGCTAAGAGCACTATTTAGGTTCCGATTACCATTATAAAGAATAAAATAAATAAAAAAACCTCATCTTTTTTCCCAGCACCCGCTGCAAATTTCAGCCAGTCCAATACTTTCCCATAGAAAAGCACTAAAAAGCTAGTGTGCACGTGTGGCAAAGCGCTGCGCCAATTCAATGCATCTCTATAGGGAGTAATCAGTGCCTCCATGCATAGCGTGGAACCCAGGAAATACCTCTATTGGCCGTCTGAATGAAGGTGACCAAGTGTCCCTAGGCTCCAATGTAAATACTGCCCTGTCTCTGAAAAGGCAGTGTTTACATTAAAAAGCCTTTAGACACATACTATACTCACCAGGACAACTACATTAAGCTGTAGTTCTGGTGACAATATGGTCCCTTTAATGAAGCAGTTTTGGTGTATAGATCATGCCTCTGCAGTCTCACTGCCCAATTCCTGTGGGACACGTCATCTGCCCACACTAGATAGCACTGAGATTCCCGCACATGCCCAGTTAAATACTTCGGCATGCGAACAGGAATTTCATCTATTTATTCATTCATCAGAAAATCGAATGAATGAATAGCATTGTCATACGAACAAAAACACTGAGGATCAGTGTTCGTTCAGTTTATTACAAGGAGGGAGCTACCGGCACACAGCTCCCTCCTTATAATTTGTAAAGATAGAAGCAGCAGGGAGCTGTGCTCCCCGCCACGTCATAAGCCCCCCCCCCGGTCCCCTCTCACTCTATAAGGGGGCAATATGACCCCATAATAGCATAAAGGAGATTAAAATCTTCCCAATGCCGCTATACTGTGAGTAGGGGCATGTCCACTAAACAGTGAGCAGCCTGTGGCTCCTCAATGTTTAAAAAAAAAAAACAACCTACTAAACAACAATAAGGACCTACTGTCCTCCCCCCAGCCCCCACCTCTGAGTGGTGGCCCTAAAAAACCAAAAGGGGGTGGGGGGGGGAGATACGACAACACCTACTGTCCCGTCCCCCGGTGCCCACCCCCTGTGCAGTGGGTGGGGGCCCTAAAAATCCATACAATCAAAGTGCCTTCCCCCGCCCTGCAGAGCTCAGTCTGCGAGGAGCCCTCCATGGGTGAAGATGGATTTTTTTTGTGTTGGGATTATTTTAAGTTCGACGGGTATGATGGCTTTTTATTTGGCCTTTTTTGAGGCTGAAAAATGAAGATTTTAGAAAATGGTAAGTTAAATTTTTGTTTACAGGTTAGTTATTTTATTCCCCCTCACTATTTTTAGGGTGAGGGAGGGTAGGTAGGGGATAGTTTTATTTGGGTGGGGAGGGTGACTAGGGGCTTGGGACCCCTAGTCACCTTGATTTGGGGGGCGGGTGAATTTTTATTTAGGGCCCCCACCCGCCGCTCAAGGGTTGGGGTGGGGGACAGTAGGTCCAATTTAGGTCTTTCAACCTTTTAGTAGATAACTCCCTGATACCGTGGGAATTAGGGAGTTATCTACTAAGCAGCTGCAAGATGCAGCCACAGCACGAATAGGATCAGAGTTTCATTCATTCGAATGAAATTGCGATCTCAACAAAGTCCCGAATTGCATCCTAACATGAATGGAGAAACTGTTCTCATTCTGTTAGGAGCAATTCGGCACTTTTGCCGGCGTTCTAAGTGACAGGACATTCGGCAATACTGACAGGAAGCATTGTGAGAACAAGGAGGAAAGGTGAGAATTGTAGAAAAATTGCTCTGACCAGCGGAAATTAAGCTCTTAAGTCCCTACTTTGTCTTATGATTTTAAAGAAAACTAATGAAGACAGGAAGAACAGATTCTGAGAGAGGGGGAGAAGAGGAAGAGATTGAGGAAAGGTAAGTTCGGCATGACAGTGCCGCTTTAACACAATGCCACCTATGACCCACTATTTCATCTGATTGGACACAAATCATGTAGTGAGGAGATGGTCCCAGCGCTTGAATAAAGGAAATATAACCACATCAGTGTGTTTAAAGTTCCAGCACTGTGAAATCCTTACTAGTACAAGGGAGCTGCAGGTGTCAACGGATTCCAGAGGATGGCCTCTCAGCTGGGGCCACAGACTGAAAGAAACTGTATGCAACGCTCCAGGTGAGCACTGCACACGGGACCTATAAAATCGCAGCGTGGAGAATTTGTGCTCAGATATTCTCTAGCTTTAAAACCATAATTCACTCTTTGCCATATTTGTTGCATAACCCCCAAAATAAATAAATTCAAGGGAAAGCAATGCTTTCCTGGAAACACTCATGCACGGCGTGAGGACGTCCAGCGTCGTTTAGGCGACCAAAAGTAGTCTAAAAACCCAGAAGTCCCTCTATTGGCTGTAAACTGCAATAATTACATGCTCAGGGTTAAGGGTGATGGGAGCTGAAGTGGGCTGGGTGAATACAATGTCCCTTTAAAGTCAGACATAACTAAAGTTTGTTTTTAGTTGCACTAGTTGTGTAGAAAGTATTAAAGAGACACTATAGGCATTAAAACCACTTTAGGTTAAAGGAACAAAAAATGTATTTTGGACACTATACTGCTAAGAGCACTATTTAGGTTCCGATTACCATTATAAAGAATAAAATAAATAATAAAAAAACCTCATCTTTTTTCCCAGCACCCGCTGCAAATTTCAGCCAGTCCAATACTTTCCCATAGAAAAGCACTAAAAAGCTAGTGTGCACGTGTGGCAAAGCGCTGCGCCAATTCAATGCATCTCTATAGGGAGTAATCAGTGCCTCCATGCATAGCGTGGAACCCAGGAAATACCTCTATTGGCCGTCTGAATGAAGGTGACCAAGTGTCCCTAGGCTCCAATGTAAATACTGCCCTGTCTCTGAAAAGGCAGTGTTTACATTAAAAAGCCTTTAGACACATACTATACTCACCAGGACAACTACATTAAGCTGTAGTTCTGGTGACAATATGGTCCCTTTAATGAAGCAGTTTTGGTGTATAGATCATGCCTCTGCAGTCTCACTGCCCAATTCTGCCATTTAGGAGTTAAATCACTTTTGTTTCAGTTTATGCAGCCCTAGGCAAACCTCTCCTGGCAGTGACTCACAGCCTGCAAAAACGGTTTCATTTTCAATTGGATGTTAACTTTAGATGTTTTTAACTCCTGCTCTGTAAATCGAACTTTAATCACACACACAAGGCTCCTGCAGGGTCTAGCAGTATCTTAATACAGAAGATTCACTCTAAATTAAATAGATTAGGCAATAAAGGAAGTGTGAGCATTAGATCTCTCTTGACAGGAAGTGTTTAGGAAGGCTGTGTAAGTTACATGCAGGGAGGTGTGGATGAAGCTGTATCAACAAAGCAATTTAACTCCTAAATGGCAGAGAATTAAGCAGTGAGACTGCAGGGGCTTGCTAAAAGAAGACACCCTCAGTTTTGTGCCTATATTATCCTTTAACAAATTACAAAACTGAGGTGATTTTTCTTTTTAAGTTTCTTCTGTTATGTAATATTTTATTTCTATTTAATATTGTGTGATGTATACACAATGTAACCGTAAGCCATGATTTCCTTGTAAAAGAATGCTATATATGTACTGGGTGCACTTAAATAGAAAGGGCGCAATTGTAGTTATGGTGCCAGGAGCCCCCTGGCTCCCTCCACAATTTCATTTGTTAACCCCTTAATACACACATATCCCATGTCATACATAGTGTATTTTAATATTAATATAAAGTACATATATTTGTATTAAAATACACTTAGAATGAAGTTATATATTACATATATGTATAATTACAAGAATACAAAAAAATATATTTTTAAACAAATTAAATTATATAGATATAGAGATATATATATACATACATACATACATACATACATACATAACATTTCTGTGTGTATATTTTAGTACACTTAGCATAATTATGTGATTTAACTCCTAAATGGCAGAGGATTGAACAGTGAGGCTGCAGGGGCAAGTTATACACACCAAAACTGCTTCATTAAGCTAAAGTTGTTCAGGTGACTATAGTGTCCCTTTAATGGGGGGTACTGTTTTATGCGAGACATTGCGGAATACAAATATGTGCATTTTATTGCAGTAAAAGTGAACAGTATCATGACATTTACAGCTAAAATGTCAGGCAGAACTACTTTAAAAAAAAATATCTCAATTTCAGTTTTTTATTTTATTCATAATAAATTATGTTTCAAATATGAATAGTTCATGAGAAATTAAAGCCCTGTTTCTCCTGAACAAATTATATTAAGTGTGGGTGCACTTAATATGAAAGAGGTGAATTACGATTGAACAGACATATAGCGCAAATTCCAGGTTTTGTTTACGTTTTGATCACAACATGTACTACTGACTCCGTCTTGAAGAGGTTAACCCCTTAAGGACACGACATGTCATTCCCTTTTATTCCAGAAGTTTGGTCCTTAAAGGGGTTAAACTATTACCAGACAGAAAACCAGGTGTTCACACAGTGTAGGAAATTCGTGATAAAAACCACCACTGATGTGTATGTGGAGCGCTTAAATATATACAGACTTACCCATATGGGTAAGCATACATATGTATGAGGAACGTATCGCACAACAGTGTATCTGAAAACAGATATAAGTGCAAATAGTGCAAGTAACATATGTGATAAATCCGGAGAATAAATATTCTATATGGTCTCACTCACATGTAGCAGAGCCCTATAGGACAGGCTCAGATCTCAACAGCTTGCGCGTACTTATGATGACACGATACCCAATCGATGCTTTAATCGCCTGGAGATCCTTATGCATATATAAGAGGAAAAGGAGGGGAAACAAAGAGCCCCATGTGTAATAAATTCCAGTACTCCGTGTCTAATATGAAGAAAATTGGCTTCTCACCTGATAGAGGGCCCAATACCTGGCTCCTGGTATAATAGTGTCTATGCCTTTAAGGAGGCTACCACCCTTCTTTAAGCAGCAAAACGGAGGATTCCAAATATAAAATAAAATGTATTGAACTAAATAAAAACTTACATAAATAAGCAAATGAATATATAAAATTTGAAGTTGAATCTCCACTCTTCCTGCCGAGACGAATTTCGCTGTATTGTAACAGCTCTCAGAACCAACTGAGAAAGCTGTTACAATACAGCGAAACGCGTCTCTGCAGGAAGAGTGGAGATTCTACTTCAAATTTTATATATTCATTTGCTTATTTATGTAAGTTTTTATTTACTTATTTAATAAATTTTCGATTGGGTATCGTGTCACCATAAGTACACGCAAGCTGTTGAGATCTGAGCCTGTCCTATAGGGCTCTGCTACACGTGAGTGAGACCATATAGAATATTTATTCACCGGATTTATCACATACGTTACTTGCACTATTTGCACTTATATCTGTTTCAGATACACTGTTGTGCGATACGTTCCTCATACATATGTTTACCCATATGGGTAAGTCTGTATATATTTAAGCGCTCCACATACACATCAGTGGTGGTTTTTATCACTAATTTCTTACACTGTGTGAACACCTGGTTTTCTAATTGATTTTTAGGGAAGAGAGTCCCTATTTTTAGTGGTAGCCGCTACTATTGTTTATTTCATTATTGACTGTAAGCGCCTTGAATACACACATTTACAATTGTATTTGTGTATTACCAGACAGATTTACATGAGTGGGGAAAATAGGACAATCCTGGTACCACAAGCACTACAGCATGCTATAGTAGTTATGGTGCTTGGATTATGGCATAAACTAGGCCTTGTGCTATAATCTGATATATAATTGTATGCAAGTTAAGGAAGATCCCTATTTGTCCGATGAATAACTTGATTGAGCTAGAATTTCAGTAAAGTTTCTAAAATTCCGTTATTATGATAAACAAAGGGACAATGATTACGTCCCATCTAAAAACCACTGTAAATGTGCATAGAACATTTAGATTTAAAGCAAAGATCTAAATATGCAATTCACATCAAATGTACTCTAGTGCGATCACTTTGTCAATTTCTTACAGGAAGCCATGACATAAGATGGCAGGGTCAATGCCAATTCCACGTTAAGTGAAGATGTAAGATGGTGATAAAGGTTTGGCCAACTTTTTTAGGGTAACCTAGAACAGGGTTACAAACATTTGGTATTTAAATTTTAAGACAGAAGGAAGCCATATATCCATCCTACACTCCAAATGTTGAACAAGTGACCCCAACCCTTGAATGTCAGAAAAAAGCCAGAGTTCAAAGGGCAGCTTTCTCCACAGCAGGAGATATTCAACAATCCCAAGAAATACTTACTGTAAGTCTCTTCCTCTTTCCGTAAGATGACCATGGTTGTGGTTCAATGACCAAGACTCCCCCAGGATTCAGATGATTGTACATTCTCCGAAACAGTCTTTTGAGTCCATCATCACCCCAGTTCAGATGCACCCATTTGGTAACACTGAGGCACAGGATTACATCAAACTCTGCTTTCTGAGCCTCCACCAACTCATCCTGTTCCACTACATAGTTACCCTATAGGAGGAGAAGTGTATTAACATCCAGGAAGGACAAGAGAAAGTAAAACATAGGCCAGGATTTTATAAAATGACAGTACAATGGGGGTAATGGAAATAACTTAAAAAGGAGGTAGAGATACAAGAGCCAAAAGTACACAGAAAGAGACAACTAAAGCATGGAGTGGAGACATGGGGGTGACAGATCAGAGGTAAACATCAAAACATGAGCAATAACAGTTACGCAAAAAAAAAAAAAAAAAGTTTAACTAGCTTCTGACCTGTACAAATACGACGTTATGTGGGAAGTCCTTTTGCTTTTCTTCCTCTCCTTTCGGCAGATAACTGGGGGCAGCAATGGGACCTCTTGTGGTAACAAGAGCAGAAGGAAAGACCGAACCACTTTTAGCTCTCTCAGAGAGGTAATGCCTTATATTATGCCTTGCAGCTTGTACTAAGGCCCCATCAATGTCCAAACCCACCACACGGGAAGCTCCCGTGTTCTTGGCCACACACAGTGTCAAGTGTCCTACATTACATCCAATGTCCAAAACAGCTTTACCCTCGAACCATTCAGGCCGCAATGCCCTTAGACGTGCATCCTCAGTCCAGTTAGGGTTACGATATCCATAATACCGGCAGTAGTTGCCATACTGAAATCGATTTTTCGTCTTTGGAGCACACTGAGGTCTTATGCACTGTATCCTAGATGCTAATGTAACTCCACTTTTAATTCTCTCAGGGCTGCCTTGTTTTCCTTCTGATTTGCTAGACGTCCTCCTTCGTTTACGATGCCGGGAGCCAGCAGTAGCTGACACAGCAGATGGTTGAGGTGCTCCTTCGGTTTCCAAGGACGGCAGTGGTACCACTTCATCCCGGCAATTAATGGTTGTGTTAAGTTCATATGGCCGCAGCTCCTCAGGAATTGGTTCGGTCTCTTTCTCTAGCATGGTCGTTATCTTAATAGTAGCCTCATTTGTTGGATGGTGACGGTGTCGGTGTCTTTTCCTACCACTCTTAAGTGGTGACAGCAATAGCTCAACATCACCTGAGGCAGCATTGAGGCTCAGTGGGTCAGTAATGTCTTTAGGGATAAGTATCTCAACTGGATCTCTGTTTCGGGATGGAAGAGGAGAGGACTTGGGAGTCTCTGCATTGAGGGCACGATTCACCTCCTCGTCCAGTAGACTGTTAAGGTTAAGTGGATCAAAGATATTACCACCAAGTAGAAATTTTGATGGCAGGACAGGTTCACTTTCAGAGTTCACTCTTCTCCGTCGCTTGAATGGAGCTGGATGTTTGAATCCAATGTTAAAACTGTTTCGCCTTTTCCCCTGAAACCCATTACGGGGGGCGCGAGGCAGAGTTTGCTGCTCAGATCCTTCTTTTGTTGCTTTAGACTGGCCATCTTGTTTAGGGAGAGGTGCAACAAGTGGAACCAGAAAAGTGACTTCGTCAGTGTTGCCTCCAACAGTCACTGGAGGCTGCATTGGCTCAGACGACGACATCTCTACCAAAACCTGCATGAGTGCATCAATTTGAAACTAGTTATGCACTTGCAGTAATTCCAAGAGGGATGTGAAGGGCAGCCTGTTTACCCGGACTTCGCATTAAAACAAACTTCACACAGTTTGCAAAGCAGAAATGGTTTCAGATTTGTAGAAAGGTCACCAGTCTGTTCAGTCACACGGTTTGTGATTTAACAAGTATGGGTGGCAGGACTGGGGCAAGAGATAGACGGAAAGTGAACACCCCAAAATGCGAGTCACCCCAAATCTGCAGAGAACCCAAATTACTGGGCAGTCCCCCCAAAACCTTCACAGAACCCCAAATTACTGGAGTCCCCCCAAAACCTGCACAGAACCTCAAATTACTGGAGTCCCCACACAACCTGCACAGAACCCCAAATTACTGGAGTCCCCCCACAACCTTCACAGAACCCCAAATTACTGGAGTCCCCCCAAAACCTGCACAGAACCCCAAATTACTGGAGTCCCCCCACAACCTGCACAGAACCCCAAATTACTGGAGTCCCCCCACAACCTGCACAGAACCCCAAATTACTGGAGTCCCCCCACAACCTGCACAGAACCCCAAATTACTGGAGTCCCCCCAAATTACTGGAGTTCCCCCAAAACCTTCACAGAACCCCAAATTACTGGAGTCCCCCCAAAACCTTCACAGAACCCCAAATTACTGGAGTCCCCCCAAAACCTTCACAGAACCCCAAATTACTGGAGGAACCCCAGTCACCCCAAATTACTGGAGTTCCCCCAAAACCTGCACAGAACCCCAAATTACTGGGCAGTCACCCCAAATCCTGCACAATGCACTAAATTCCAGTAAAGTGTCTCCCAAACCACTTAAAACTTCCCAGAACCCCCTCAGGTCTGTCACCCCAAACTATCAGGAAATATGAGGAGCCCCTGGTGGCAGGAGGTGGGCGTGTCCTTCAATAGACAAGCCCCTCCCCTTTGTAAGAGCCACGCCCCTGGCAAGCTCTGTCTCGGAAGTCTGTCAGCAGTGCCCGAAGAATGGGCGGAGTCTGCGAGAGAGAGCGAGGACTCCAAGTGACCAGCTCCCACCCGCGGTCAGTCACTACTGAGCGAAATGGCGGGGGTGTGCTCCTATATATACCGCTCCTCACCCTGGCCCCGCCTGCCTACCGCGTCATAACCCGGCCCCCTTCCACACTGCGCATGCGCCGCCCTGCCAGCCCGCTCCCTGAGCCAACCTCAGCACCGAGCAGAGAGCGTGCGAGTCTGTCTGTGAGGACGCTGAGCGCGCGCCTTTATATAGGCTCATGCGGCCCCGCCCACCCCTCAGCTAGCGTCCCTTCAGTTCGCCAGTCCACGCCCACACACCAGCCAACAGCGTATCACGTGGTAGGAATGGAAGGTTGACTGTGGCCAATCAGGACGTGCATAGAGGAGGGCCTACTCCCCGCTGGCCGGCCAATCACAGTCTCCGGGGGCTGTATAGGTGGCCAGGGATATCGCCTGCACGGAGAAAGCGATAACCCCGCACAATGCCACCTTTATTCTAGTGCCGGAAAGGCAGGGTGGCTTCGTGTACCGAGCTACTGGCCGTGCTAGATCCATCAATTTACTTCGAGGATCAAACCGACATCAAAACTGGAATCAGAGACAGGCATCATTCAGGACACCTACCCTATCCCGCCTGTGCTGGGGGCTTTCCCCCGCCCCGGAGGCTGCCGGGAGTTGAAGTTTCCAGGCCCCACCCTCCCGCTTTACGTTGTGGTGTCGTCGTTGCCTTCTCTGTCCCTGTGAGGGGAGATAAAATGGCGGCGGAGAGTGAGGCCTCGGCCCCGCACTGATAATACGGCCATGGCGGGGGCTGTGCTCTCAGCCTGCAGCCCTGTGGGTGTCCGCTCCCATGGCAACGGGAGGGCCTTGGCCACAGAGCTCGCACTCACCTGCCAGCCCGGGGTCTCCAAACCCTGAGAGTAGTGGGATA